GGGGGCCATAGTGGGCTGGCCCTTCAGTGCCCTGCTGGGGTAAGAAATAATCAATATTTTATATGTAGAGTGACAAGAAGGGTCCAAAATATTTTCTACCACAAATAAATAAATGTCCTCCCATAAATATTGCTCATCTGACATGAACTTGTATTGCTGTATTTATATTAAAATGCATATTTGTATCCTTATTAAAATAAGTATTTGGTTGATTTCGTATTTTAAGAATTATTTATTTTCTTTTTTTCCCTAACATTTTTGCTTTTGGGGCTTTAATCCATTTAATCCAACATTTCTCCCAGACATGTATTCTATTTGCTCACGACTGGTTGATAAATCTGAGTCAACATTTTAAAATAAATATTTTTAAAAAATAATATTTTAACATAAATTGATACTTACAGTACACACTACCATTTGAAAGTTTGGGGTCGGTAAGATTTTTAAAAAGAAACTATTACTTTTATGTAGAATGCATTTACTTGGCATTACATTGATCAGAAGTGGCAGTAAAGACATTTACATTGTTACAAAAATGCTGTTTAAAATAAGTGTTGTTCTTCTGACACTACTTCTTTTTATTTCTTCATCCAAGAATCCTAAACAAAAATTTTCCACAAAAATATTAAGCAGCACTATAATAATTAACAATGTTACTTGGGTATCAAATCAGCATATTAGGATGATTTCTGAAGGATCATGTGATACTGAAGACTGGAGTAATTCAGCCTTGCATCACAGGAATAAATGACATTTAAAAATATATTAAAATAGAAACCATATTTTAAATTATAATAATATTTCACAATATTACTGTATTTACTGATTAAATAATTGCAGCCTTGGTGAGCATAAAACTTTTTTGAAAAGCTTTAACAATATTACCAACCTCAAACTTTTGGTACATGCTTCCTTTTACCATTTCGCCTAATGTAACTTTTAAGTCTGCAGTTTTATAATCGGACTTAATCGGTTACCTGTTCAAACATGGGTCTTTGTGTTTTTTCCACTGATCAGAATTGTGAATATTTACATGTTCAGCAGCAGGTAGATGATCCAGGTTTGACTGCGACCAGGGTCATGTCCTCATCCCACTTCTTCTTTCCCACCACTGCTATCCAGTCTGCTCTATACTTCCCTCCAATAAAAAGCAAAAAGCCCCCAAAAATAATAATAAAAAAGTGATTGTAAGACTGTAGGTCTTGTAGTTTAATCCATGAATTATACTGTAGTTCCTTTATAAATAAATATGGCTAGTTACTATGTTTCATTTACTCAACAAAGTCAATATTTACTCTGATTTGGTGAAAAGCCATAGAAATAATCCTGATCAGCCAACTAGGTGAATTTAGGCTTTTTTTACTGATTGTTGTTGCAGCATACCCATTGCCTTTGACCTGCTGTTTCTGAAGAAGAAGTGGAAGAGTTTTATCACGTGGACTCTGGTGGCGTTGCTCCTCTTTCTGGTTGGGAAACTCATTGATTTCTGTGGTTACGGATTTGTTTTTGTGTCTTTTTTTTATCTGACTTGAGACACTGAGATTCCATCAATTGCAAAATGGAATTTTAAAATAAAAAAATATCCAAGATCGGTGTATTATACTGATATGATAACACATCGTTACATGTTTCTGTAGGTCCCTGTTGTTGTAGTAGACAGCTACTACTATGGAAAGCTGGTGATTGCTCCTCTGAATATACTACTATACAACGTGTTCACTCCTCATGGGCCAGATCTTTATGGTAAACTTCAAATCATTTGTATATACATTTAGAAAAGAATATTGACTCATATTAAAAATAAACTAAAATTGTTTACAGTAAAGTACTTTTTCATTACAATGTTTTTTTCTTTCTTAAAGGCACAGAGCCCTGGCATTACTACTTTGTGAATGGTTTCCTTAATTTCAACATTGTATTTGTGTTGGCCCTCTTTTCTCTTCCTCTCACGGCACTTATGGAGGCACTGCT